ATAGTGATATTTAAATAGCAATTACCACACACTAGGCACTGCTTTTCTCAATTGCCAAACAGCTTTACAATTTGGTAACCTAGTAGTTACTAAACTTTGAGATGTGGAAACAGAGGCACAGAGATCACCTAGCTAGTAAGGAGTAGAGCCAGGACTGAAATTTAATCAGTCTAGTTCTGGAATCCATATTCCTGTTAACTGTGAGATTGAGTCAGTAGCACATTATTCACTGAAGTGAGAACCATAGTGTTAGCACATTAGAAATGTATTTATTATTTATAATACAAAGAACATCTGTATTTGTTTATGAGGACCTTCAAAACAATTAAAATTCAATACTGCAGTATAAAAGGGATTATTTCCCAGGGAAATGCTTCCCCCAAACAATATTTTTCTAACCTTTGCCAACTCAATAAATTTGTGAATAGTATTTGAACAAATAAATTATTGAGTGAAGATGATGTTCCATTAAAGAACAATGCTATCTTAGAAGTACACATCCCGGTATTTGAGGAACAGCCTCATAGAGGCTAATGAGAACGTTTCAGGATTTAATGGGAGCCAGCTATTTATAAATCATGGAATAAGTAGGGCAATAATGGCTTTTTTCAAGAGATTCTTAAAATTTTAACTATAATAGATATTATACTCAATTCTGTTTGGTATATCTAAATTTGATTTTACCCCCAAAGTTAAGGCTGTACTATCAGATAGCTTACTTAAGTATATTTTTAGTCCTTTATCTGGTTATTAAGTAGCATCTGTGATAGTTAATACCGATTGTTAACTTGAAAGAATCTGGAATCATTTAAGAGACAAGCCTGGATATATTTGTGAGGGAATTTCTAGACTGGGTTACTTGTGGTAAGAAACTCCATCCCAAATGTGGGTGGCACTGTTGCACGTGCTGGGTGGGGTCCCAAGAAAAATAAAAGAGAAAAGTGAGCTGAGCACCGGCATCCATCTTTCTTAATCTCTTGACCCATAGATGCAACACAACTAGCTTCCTCATGTTTGTACTGTCTTGATTTCTCCACCATGGTGGACTGTACTCTAGAGCTCTGAGCCCAAATAAGCCTTTCCTTCCTTAAGATGCTTTTACTAGGTATTTGGTTACAGCAACAAGATAAAAAACCAATGCAGTACCCTTTCTCGTTTCCCCATAGAAAGCAAAGGTCAGTACAGTGCCATGTTCCTGTGTAAGGACACCTGACCTCCTCTTAGCAACCTCTGAGAACACCTCGGGTTCTCCCTCTTTTCTTCATTGCCAATAGTATATTTTGATGTATCTTAGCCATCTACTGTTGTAATCATACCTTAAGCCCTATCAATAGCAGAACCTACACATTTTGAGTTACAAAAGAAGATTCTTAGCCATGTATGAACTGTTAGGTTCCTGGCTCACTCACATAAATGCCACACTGGACGCAATTAGATGTTCTTATTGAAAATTTCATTTTAGTTTATTCCACAGTTATTTATTTAAGTCCTTACGATGGCATATGTAACTCCTTGAATTGGTTTAGCTCTGCCTTTAAAACCTTTAAGGCTTCAAATACTCTGAAGTTACTGCCTTTGCTAAATCCCACAAGCTATTCTGCACTTTACCTCTAATATAATTGAGTTTGTTTTATTGAACTTACTCTTATTGAGATTGTTGTTTGCTTCCCCCGCCTTTTAAAAACAGATTTAGTTTATTTTTAACTTTGTGTGTGTGGTGGGAGAGGTATATGTGCAACTGAGTATAAGTGTACATGGAATCCAGAGTTACAGGTGGTTTTGAGGGTGGTAGCTTGGGTGAGAATGGCCTCCTTAGGTTCATATGTCTGAATATTTGATCCCCAGTTGGTAGACCTAAACTGGGCTCCACAACTCTGCATTTTGATGGCTGTAGTTTTCTGTAATGGTCTCTTTGATGAGAAGTTTCTTTGATGAGGGGTGAAAACTACAGTTGGTCTAAGCACGAATATTTAGAATTTGGTTAGGGTTTATCCTAGATATTATTTGAAACATAAAAGTATTCATTTCTGTGTGACCTAATTTATATTTTCTTTCCTTTTAGCATTCAAGTAGTTGGTTTCCTATCTAATGAATTATTGGTTCCCTAAAGGTCATTAATATTTGTTCCTGCTCTTGCTTACAAGGGTTTTAAATTTTTAACATTTACATTAGCCCTATGGTTCATTTTGAGTGAGTTTTTGCATCTGTGGCTTGATGTCTGTCATTACTTCTGTGAAACTGACTATTATCCCTTTAAATACTATTTCTGCCCCATCCTTTTCCTTCATTATTTTGAGTTTGTTATACTTATGCTGGATTTATTCATTGAACATCTGCCTTTCTTCCTCCATTGTTTTCTCCTTGTGCTTCAGTTTGAGCATTTTTTCTTTTCTTGGTTATTCCCCAAACCTAGTAATCTCTGTTCTGATTCATATAGTCTTCAGTTTAACTCATTTACTGAGTTCTTGACTTCATATATTATATTTTTTAAGAGTTTCCCACTGATCCTGTTAAAATTCTGTACCTTCCTATATATTTTACCCACCTTCCCTTCCTCCATTTTATGACCTATTGCTTTATTTTGTAATAGTCATCTTAAAGCCCTTATCTAAACTTTAACATTTGGTTTTTCTATCTGTGCATTTTCTATTTCCTTTTTCCCTCCTCTTTATCATTGACCAAAACTTCCTGGTTTTTGTCCCGTCCTACATTTAAAACAACCACATATTTCAGAGTCTTACCCAAAACTCCCATAGACAACATAGATGATTATTTTCCACTAAATGGAAAGTAGGGTGAGTGTCTGATATCCTCCACACAGTCACAGATGAACTAGGCTGTGATTGGGATGCAGGGTTAGTATGACTCAGTCAACTTCTGGTTTCTTTCTGTTCATGATTCCTCTGAACTTTTGATTAAGAACCAGAAAGGTATAACTTCAACTGTAAAGGATTTGAATGTGGAGAATAATGTCCATATACCTGAGGTAGGCTCCTCCTTCTAGGTAGCAAACCTCATATGGACTTATAGCCTTATGTAGGTAGAATGTGAGATGATTTTACCCTAAGAACAGTTCCTCAACCTCAAGCAATATCCAAGACTTAGCAAGTGTCCTGAGGGACTGCTGGCTATATGGTTGGGGATACTTTTTCCCCTTATTCCATTATATAATTCTTAATAAACATTTCACTGGTTTCCTTTTATCTGTGCAAAGTCCCTCTGACCAGGCCAAAGCCAACAAGTCCATGCCTCGGATTAGCAAATGTTACCATGGAAGAAAACAGCTGAAATCTGGCAGCTGCCTTAGCCTAGAACTCAACAAAAGATTTATTCAATTGCCTTGTCTTTTGTAGCAAAATGGTTAACACAAGGATGCCAGATTTGAATAGTGGTCTTTGCAGGGAGAGGAAGCAGTAACAACATCATCTCAGAGAAGAAAGTGTTATTGAAACTGGACAGGAAGAATCTTCGAGATCAATCCCTCTGTCTGTAAGAAGCACTATGCTGACACTCTACTTCTCTGTCAGCCTGGCCTTAGAAACTGATAAGCTTCCTGAAAATGGAGAAAGTCCTCAGAGTTCTAGGACACCATGGAGTTCAAGAGGTCAATGCTAGACTGCCTCCTAAGAGCTCAGGCTAATACTGCTACAGTTGTGGAAAGATTGCACCACTTTCAAATAATATTGCAGTCAATATGATGATCAAATAAAGAAAAGATGGATGTTGAGTAATACTTTTTGTTGTTGCCATGTTATTTTGACACTCCACACATTGAATAACCAAACATTAGCTTTAATTTAGGGACTTGGTAAAGACGAGGAGCCAGTATTCGACACAGGGTCCCTCTGTGTAGCCCTGGCTGTCCTGGAATTCGCTCTGTAGACCAGGCTGTCCTTCAGCTCACAAAGCTCTATCTTCCCCTGCCTCCAGAGTGCTGGGATTAAAAGCATAGTCCACCACCACCGCGTTAAGATGAAGGTATTTTAAAAATGATTTATTTCCTAAGTTTGTGTGTGTGTGTGCGTGTGTGTGTGTGTCTGCATGTACACATAAACACGGGGGGGGGCCTGTGGAAGCCAGAAGAGGGTGTTGGATCCCCTGGAGCTTGAATTACAGGTGATTGTGAGCTACCCCAACACGGATACTGGAAACAGAACTCAGCTCCTCTGCAAGAGCAAGAAGTGGTATTAGTGACTGAGTCAACTCTAGTCCCAAGATTAGTTTTACTTAAAGGGTATAAATAAACTTAAGATTAAAAAGAATAAAATTTAGCCGGGCATTGGTGGCGCACGCCTTTAATCCCAGCACTCGGGAGGCAGAGGCAGGCAGATCTCTGTGAGTTCGAGCCCAGGCTGGACCGACAGCCTCCAAAACACAGAAACCCTGTCTCGTAAAACCAAAAAAAAAAAAAAAAAGAATAAAATTTATTTATATGAATGTGTTTGCTTGCTTGAATTTATGTGTATCACGTGTGTGCAAGATCCTTCAGAGGCCAGAAGAGGGCTTCAGATCTCCTGGAAGTGGAGTTACAGACTGTTTATTTACATGACATATACCCGCAAATATTAATTTATAACTAGAACATTTTTTCTTGATTAAATTCATTTTTTTTGTTTTCCCCTCTAAATACACTGGAGTGGATCTGTGTGTTTTAGTCATCCTGTCTTTACTGATGGAATAATAAAATGCACGAGAGAAGCCCTAACCAGTGCATCGACCCTGAACTATGCTTTAAATGGTCCATACTTAGAACGGCAAGATGAAAGCCACTGGGAGGAAAGCCTACAGGTAAGCGTTCAGGGCTCAGGAGGTATGTAATTGTCTCTTAGCGAGTGCAGACACACGTGTGGTTACTCAGCGCGCCCGCCACAGAAAGGTTGTTTTCCCCGAGGGAGGGAGCCAGAGAGCCTGGCGTTCCTACTTCCGGCCCCGGCCCCGCCCTCACAGTTGCTAGGAGACGTGATGTCACCGGAAGCGAGGCCTGGGATAGGCTGAGGCCTGGGGAAGCCTCTCCCACACAGCAGCTTGGGTGCCGGCGCTTGCTCCCCAGCTGTTCCTAGGCCGGCGGCGAGGGTCCGGGACGGAGCGACCGATCCCCGCTCCCGCAGGCCCGGCCTGCCGTCCTCGCCGAGTCGGTCGGTGCTCCCGTCGGGCCGGCAGGCTGGCTAGTAGCTTCCGGGCGGGTGCCCGCGCTCCTGACTGACAGGCGCCGTCCCCACAGCCCGCGCCACCCGCCACGTCCCCGCTCTCGGCCGGCACACGGCGTGGCTGCCACCGACCTCTCGGAACCCAGCGCGATGCGGGTTCCCGGCTTCTTCGGAGCCGCGCGGATACCCCAGCGCCGGCGCCCGGGGCCGCTGTCGTCCTCCGCTTGGCCGCTGCTGCTGTTCCTGCTGGCGGCCGCGGGGCCGGTGCGCGCCTGGGAGAGCGCAGACCTGGAGTTGTTCGACTTGGTGGAGGAGGTGCAGCTGAACTTCTACGAGTTCCTCGGGGTGCAGCAGGTAAGCGCGCGGGCCGCGGCGGCCGCCAGCCCTTCCCCAGCCCCTCACCCTCGCGCCGACTTTGGAACTTCTGGTCTAAGTGCCGGGCTGGACGGGGCCACCAGCTCGGGGATGCTGATACCTTTTCTTTGGCCTTCTGGGGACCATCCTTTCCCCACCCCCAAAAGCTGTGCCCGAAGAAGAAGGAAAGAGAGGTGTGGGTAGACCATTTTTAAGCTTACCCACTCTCAAGTGTGACACAGTAAGTATGTGTCACCCCAAATTGTCATCTTCCCACTTACACATATTTTTACTTCATCTGCCTTCCTCTCTCGTCCTCTCTGGGAAGAAAGAAATACGTTTTGCCCAGCGTCTCTTGGCAGTTTCCTTGCACTGTATTTCGTAATCGTTATAGCCTGCTACTTAGTATTCGTGTTACAGTTAGAAATCTGGAAGAATTTGAAGCCTCCTCTCCTCCTAGGAGAAGCTGCTAAGCCTTCAGGGCTTGAGGTATATGGGAAGAGAAGCCGAGGATAGTCTGTGTATGTGTCTTTGCCTGTATTCCTTTCTGTTCTGGTTTTAGCTTGGGTCTTTAACTTGCGATTAAGTGTTGGTATTTATCCAGAATCTACCTGAAACAGTGAACAGAAAAAGTAGACATGTTACTAACTTCACGATTATGGAATGAAAGACAGAATTTCCCAAGATCTGATTAAGTCCTTCACACTATACATACGTTGTGGAGCCTTTTCAAAAAGAAAGACACACTTAACAGGATTTAGCTAGGGAATGTACCTCTTCCTACTTTCAAAGGAAATTAAATTGAACTATTAAATATAATTTTGTTTTTGTTTTTAGAGACAGGGTTTCCTGCGTAGCTTTGGAGCCTGTCCTGGAACTCACTTTGTAAACCAAGCTGGGCTCAAACTCAGGAATCTGCCTGCCTCTGCATCCCAAGTGCTGGGATTAAAGGCTTGTGCCACCACACCTGGTTTGAAATTTAATTTTCAATCATTGCCTTTTAATTCCATGATTGCATATAAAATTACTGAGTATAAAATTGCCATGGAGCTGAACTTTACAGTTCAAATTTTTGTAAGAATTATGAGTATTTCACATCTCAAATTCTTTTTTTTTTTTTTTTTTTTTTTTGGTTTTACGAGACAGGGTTTCTCTGTATTGTTTTGGAGGCAGTCAGTCCAGCCTGGCCTCGAACTCACAGAGATCCGCCTGCCTCTGCCTCCCGAGTGCTGGGATTAAAGTCACATCTCAAATTCTTAAATACAAGTGGTTTTGTGGTAACTGTAAAGTGTTACCTGGTGTCACTTCCTGTTCACAGATACAAAAAATATGCCTCATTTCCAAAGTAAGTGACTATGCAGTGTAGTCCTGGCTGTCCTGGAACTCAGAGATCCTCTAAAGGCGAGTGCCACCACCACCTGCCTGGGTTTGGGTTTTTGAGACAAGGTCTTACTATGTATCTCAAGCTATCCTCTAAACCTTTATTCTCCAGCCTTAGGCTCCTTCTGGGTGTTGAGATTACAGGCTTTTTCCATTATATCAGGCCAGAAGATTCATTTTACTTTGTAATTTTTTTTATTTAGATTAGCACAGGAAATAATTCCTTCTAAAAATTTTCCATTTGATTTTATTTTATTTAGGTTAGGTAGCCCCTTACCACCACCCCCAAGGTGGTGCATTGGCTTGCCTGGTACTTACGAGGTAGACTGGGCTAACCTCAAAGTCACAGATCTCCATCAGCCTAGCTCAAGGACTACTGGAATTGAAGGCATGTGCCACTACATCTGGCCTAGTCCTTTCCATCTTGGTGTGTGTATACCTCTGTCAGTGTGCTTATACATTTTTTTTAGTATCATGTCACAATGCTGCTCTAGTTTTTTGTTTTGTTTTTAATGTTCATGGGTGTTTTGCCCCATGTATGTGTGTTCATCATATGTGTGCCTGGTACCCACAGAGGCCAGAAGAGGCCATCTAATCCCCTGGAATTACAGACAGTGTGAGCTGCCATGTGGCTGTTGGGAGTCAAGCCTTTGAGAGAGCAGACAGTAATCTTAACCACTGAGCTACCTCTCCAACACCAGGAGTATTCTTTATTGAATCTATCTATCTATCTATCTATCTATCTATCTATCTATCTATCTATCTATCTATCTATCTATCTATCTGTGCACGCGCCATGGAAGGTCAGAGGATAGCTCTTGGGAGTTGGTGTTCTCTTTCCATGAGGGTCCCAGGGATTAAGCTTGGCAGCAGGTACCTTTTAACTACTGAGCCATCTTGCTTGCTTATGACTCACTTTAATATTGAGAATACTTATTTAGTATTCATTAAAATTGGTTAAATTCTGTAGCTAGTGAGAGTATTATGTATAACTGTGCTGGCTAGTATTTTGTCAACTTGACCCAAGCTAGAGTCATCTTTGAAGAGGGAATCTCAATTGAGAAAAATGCCTGGATTAGATTGGTCTGTAGGCAAGTTTGTGGGAGCATTTTCTTGACTAATGATTGATGTTGGAGGGCCCAGCCCACTGTGTGTAGTGCCATTCCTGGGCGGGTGGTCCTAAGTTATATGTTAGAAGCCAGTAAGTAGCATGCCTGCCTGGTCTCTGCTTCAGTTCCTGCCTTGACATATTTCAAAGATGGACTGTGAGTGGAAATGTAAGCCAAAAAACAGTTTTCTTCCTTAAGTTTGTTTTGTCAGGGTTTTGTCACAGCAACAGAAAACAAGTTAAGACAACAACCAATAAAGAAAGTCTTGACAATGCTTTTGATTTGTTGGTAGAAATAAAGCTTCTTTAAGAGAATACAAAGGCTGGGCAGTGATGGTGCACACCTTTAATCACCTCACTCAGGAGGCAGAGGCAGGCAGATCTCTGAGCTTGAGGCCAGCCTGGTCTACATAGCCACTTCCAGGACAGCCAGAGCTGTTACACAGAGAAACCCTGTCTGGAACCCTGCCCTGCCCCCCCAAAAGCAAGCAAACAAAGAAGCAAAAAAATGGTGGAGAGAATGAGAACACAGAGACTTAGCAGAAGTGATTTCAAATTTAAATTATCTATTGGCCAGAGAGATAGCTCAGCACCTAGGAGCACTTGCTGATCTTGTAGAGGAATGGAGTTCAGTTCCTAGCACCTGTGTTTTTCAGCTCCCAACTGTTCACAATTCAGTTGTAGGAGATCTGACACTCTGTTTTGGCCTCTGAGGGTATGGTACTCACTCACATGTACAAATCTATATACTTTATACATACTTAAAAATATTAAATTAGCTAATGTAGCCTTATTTGTGCACAATTGTGGTTTTTAATTTCATGCTATTTAATTTACAGTAAATTAGTCAGTATGGACAACTAGAAACCTTAACTTTGTAAGAAAAGATGGGGAAATTATGAATAGATAATTGAGACGATTTGGTAAAATTTGATAATAATCCAGAAAATTAAGTTTTGTTTCTGTGTTTAGCTGTATTGAAATAAAAAAGAAAGCCAGAAGGAATTTTATTTTTTTGACACATAAAAATAGATTGGAAAGTTCTTTGAATCTTAGCTTTCGAAGACTTTCAAGGGACCAGATAGTTGGTAGATATAAACTCAACCTGTTTAAAGTTCAGTGTGAGACAGTCAAGCCATGGCCAAACAATCTTTTGTTGACTCATAGATGTTAGGAACAGAACAGGAGAAAGACTACCCAATGTTGTTTACTCAGTGGAGACTTATTTAGTTTACTGGATCTTAAGCATAAAACCTTTAGCCTCATTTAGCTTAATAGATTAGTGGGGGTGAGAACACAAATAGGAAAAATAGCAGATGGCCAGAGGCTTCTGAAGGACATTATAAGTTATAAGGCATTAATTCCATTTACAAGGACTCTACCTTTATAATCTATCAATTGTTAGATGCACTCACTCTTAGTATTTACTACTGTGGGTATTGGATTTCCATGTACTATTTTGGAAGGACTCAAGCATTCAGATTATAGCATGATGGAGGAGCATTCAGCATGGTGGATAAGCAGTCAAGGATGAGAGTAAGTGTACAGGCCTTTTGTTAGTATTCACATACTTGTACTGGCCTGTCCTTGGAGTTCTGACAGGATACGTCCTCAGCAGCAGCCACTAAGAGCACCACTTGTGCGTATTCACTATGTTCACTTTTAAAAGGCCCTGCCCACCTCCCATCCTTCTCTCTTTCTTCCTCTCCCTCTCTGTTCCACTCTTTCTCTCCCTCACCCTTTTCTTTCCCCCTCTTTCCTCCTCTTTCTTGCTGCTCCTGTCTAGAGGTCTCCCCCCTCCCCTTCCCCCTTCTTATGATCCCTTTCCCTCTGTTTGAACCCTGTCTTGTGGCATCTTTCTCTTTGGCTTTTCTTAAATTACAACATTACTCAGAAGTTTGTTGAATGTTTGAAGGAATAGCAAGGCAGCCAGTATGGCTGGAGCCGAGTGATAGATAGTAGTAACAGGAGATAAGTTCCAAGTCATAAGTGGTAAGGACAGATCATAAAGGGGCTTGCAGGCCATTGTTAGGACTTTGACTTTTGCTTATAATTAAGGTGGGGAGTGGTTATTGACCAGATTTGAAGTAAATCTGTCATGTTTTTGTGTTAAAGATAGTTTATAAGGCATTAGTTACTTAGAGAAATCATGGTAGTGTAGAATGTAACATAGGCCTGGGTGGTAGCAGTGACATTGGTATAAAGTGACTAGATTCTGGATTTAATTTGATCATAAAGTTGACAAGGTTTCACTCAGATGGTGTGTTGGTTAGTTGTTTTATTTCTTTGCTCGTTTTCCCCAACTTGACGTAGACTAAAGTCATCTGAGAAGGACCTTCATTTGAGAAAATGCATCCATAAAACTAGCCTGTATGCAAGTCTTTAGGACATTTTCTTGATAAATGATTGGCATGAGAGTGCTTAGCCTACTGTGGATGGTGCCACTTCTGGGCATGTGGTATTGGGCCATATAAGGAAGCAGGCTAAGTAAGCCATAGGAAGAAAGCCAGTA